TAAGTTGAAATCGTCTTTTTTCGTATATTCTATTTTGTTTTCATTTTGTACCAGTACAGTTATGTCAAAAAATGGCCAATATTGACTGACATATGTTGCATTGAGGCTTTATTTAATTGCAAGAATTTATATTTCAGTAGTTTAAGTAACAGTAAAATATAAGGTCATTGAAGGAAAAGAACTTAATATTTTGAACTTAATTTGATTTGATTTGATTTGATTTGAATTGCTTGATTTATTTATTTACATTTATAAATGGTTATGAGACAGATCCCTTACAACCATTTAAAACAACTAAAACACAACTATTAATAAATTAACAAACCTTTTGTGAAATCATTTTACATTACAGAACAAAAAGATAAAGAAAAAGCAAAAGAACTTAAAGAGGAAACAATCCTACCAAATATGAGATCTTTCTGTCAAATGGCCTCGGAGGATTTGCATTCACAAGGTGAAACTTATAGAATTACAATACTACAAAATATAATCAAAGTCCCATAACTCCCTTCAAAATGGTCGGACCAAAATGACAGAATTTTATGGGCAAATGTATAAGGTGGCAAACAATTCTTTGAGAGTTTTATATAAAACGGTTTCAGAGGAGTTGCGTTCACAAGGAATTATTGTCGCAATACTGAACAAAATGGTCATAGTCAAATAAATAGTGTACAAATAGTCAAATCAAAATGGCGGTACAATACGGACGTCTACAAATTATGGCAAACAATCCCACCAATTATATGAGGTTTTTCTGTTAAACGTGCACAAGGTGTCATTGATACAATACTAAAAAAAAATGTTGAAATACAACAAGTACCGTAAAATTTGTTAAATTAAACTTGCGATATAGCATTGTCAAGAGAATATGACAACTAATCCTACCAAGTATGAAAGCATTATGTCAAACGGTCTGATTATTGATGTGCTTCGGGTGGACACGCCTACGGACCAATACCACTACCATATCCCCCTCGGAGTCACGTGCAAGGGATAATAAGATAACCTACATGACTGCATTTCTTACAAAGTGTCTATTTAGAATAACAATATCGAAAATTTGCAAATTAATATAGGGAAGTGTAAAAAAACTTGAAAAGACTTAGTTTAGGTTACAAAATATTGCAAAGAATTCGCATGCATGAACAGAAAACACTGGGTAGTAAATAGGGAAATATGAATTTGAATAAACACCGGCAGTTATATTTACTTCTCTGAAATAGTAGCTACGCTCCGTCGCATGCAACACAGAACGAACAGCCCTGAAGTCAATGCAAGTTATATTGTATAATATAAGGTAACAAGCCAGAGACAAGATTGAGAGAACAAATTAAATGTATTAAGGATAATATATCTAGTCTTCTTTCAGACACAACGTATTACTAATTCGCTTTGACAATAACGATCATGGCATTTCTTTGGTGATGTTACCAACCTGAAAATCATTCTGCCCAAATAATTCCTGAGTCAATAATCTCGCTCTCAGTCAAAGAAATCATTGTATTTGACAAAAGCAGTTGAAAAGATAATCAAGAATGTTTTCTGTTTACATTTAACCTTTCCTTACTATTTTATAGCTTCTCAGAATTTTCTTCAGTAATGCATAGAAAATAATATAACCACAACCATGTATTACTTTTCAAATTTTTACATTATCGAGGTGTAACAGTATTGAACATTATTATAAGCTATTTTATTTCGATGCCAGATTTTGTAAAAACCTTCGAAGGGATAACCTAAGCTTTAATTTTTAGAACCATAAAATTTATTTTGTAGATACAATGTTAATTCTAAAAAAATGCCATTTTCTATCAAAATTGCAGCTTTGAATCATAATCTTCAATCAATACGAATGTCACATAATGTTTCAACTATAAAGTATAGACACAAAATTCCGAACTGAATGTTTTAGTAAACCTGAATGGCCCTTGTCTAAAAGAGATTCAAGCATTTATACCTACAAATAACTTCTCAACCTTATCAAATGATCTAAAACAACTTTGTAATCTAATTCAAATTGATTATTGACAGAAAAATAATGGTCCAGAAATCTACCAAAAATTTCAAACAACAAAACACCACAATGTTTTCAAAGTAAAATTGGTCTTATACTAGGAAAATTAAGTATAAAGCAATGAAGGATGACCAAAAACGTTTGCCAACATCTTTCAAAATTAAGTACTAATTATTTTGTGTACTTTATCAGTTGAAAAATGGAGTTCTAATGTTGGTTTTACCTGTAGAAAACTTATTTAAAACGGGATAGCACATCCTCATTTTTACGGAGATATTGTTTTCCAAGCCCGGAAATTTAGAAACGATCCGGGTAAACTTATCGATCCTTTAAATAAACTTATCCTAAAAGGTTACCAATTCAACACTGTAGTTAGATCTTTGAATATTGTTTTTATTAGTATTTATATTTAGTTTGTTATCAGTAAATTAAAATCAAACCAAATATCATTTTATATACATATGCACATTCATGACTACAATCTGTCGATACCTGTATCTTGGCATTGCACAAGGTCATGTTTTTCTCTGACTTTTTATAACGTCTTTACACTAAATCCATTGGATGTTGGATGTACTGATTGATATTTAATTCTTAGTTGCATGATTTTTATATTAGTTGTTATTGGCTTTGAACTAGCTGTCAGTAACTGCAAGTACTCTCAGATCTGTACTTAGTGTCTTTTTGTTGTGGGGATGTATAAGTACCCGTCCACGTCCACTCTGTGTTTTTGTTAGATGTATTTCTGTGTGTATCCATCTGATGCGTTAAGCCTTTTTCAACTGATTGTTATAGTTTGTTCTTATGTTGAACTGTTACATCACTATCCCATGTTAAGGGAGGATTGGCGCCTTCAAACGAGTTTAACCCCGCCACATTCTGTATGTGCCTGTCCCAAGTCAGGTGCCTGTAATTCAGTGGTTGTCGCTTGTTGCTGTGTAACATATTTGTTTTTCGTTCATTATTTTGTACATAAACTAGGCCATTAGTTTTCTCGTTTGAATTGTTTTACATTTGTCATTTCGTGGCCTTTTATAGCTGACTATGCGGTATGGGCTTTGCTCATTGTTGAAGGCCCTACGGTGACATATAGTTGTTAACTTCTGTGTAAATTGGTCTTTTTATGGAGAGTTGTCTCATTGGCAATCATACCACATCTTCTTTTTATATTCTAATGAACAATGATAATCTAATTCACATGAGTATTCTATTTAGATTAGAATTACTTCATATACATTTTTGTAAGTTGAATGATCGATTGTCCAGCGTCAAATACTCATGGAAATGTCAGCTGAGAATAGCTAGACAGCGTATTGTAAAAGTGGTAAATTTTGACTCAAACGTTTGTTCCTGCTGAATGAGAGCGAGGTCTTGTTTACCATTTTTTTTCTTTTACGTTTTGGATACAAGAAAATAATAATAGAATAATGACAATTTTGTTTTGATACCGACTTTATCAGCAAGAATATCAAGTGACCTCGCTAGGAAGATGTGATAAAGTCAGTTTCAGATTCCTTTTTTTATAAACAATTTACCATATGAATACGTTTCCTGTGGGCTTGCCTGGTTTGTATAATTGTTTTCCAAATTATTCTGGTTGTATGAAGTTTCAAAAAGTTAAATAAAAGCCTCGAGCCCCAATGTGAACCTTTTTGGCGAGTGAGCGCAGCTTCACATTATGTTGAGCGGTTTTTGCTTGACGAAAGCAAGCTTGATAACTTCTACTCCCACATTATGACGTCTGTGATAATGACTGCTTACATCTCGAAGCCATGATACGAGAGTTTCGGAGCGAATTAGCAGGGTGATATAGATGAAAGGAAGGACTGCAAATTTGCTTATCATTACTTTTTTTACGCATGTAAATTGTTTTATCCAATGCAGTTAAACTGGACATATTTCAGAAAGAAATAGGTAGAAAGTTTAAAAGAGTGTTTTACCAACAAGGCTTGTTCGATTAATATTGATATACAATTCGTAAACAAATACATATAGATGTTTGTAAAATATCCAATGCGATCTTTTTCAGATCATAGAAATTCAGTAAGAGGGGATTTCAAAAGTAACGCCATATTATAAGGAAATATGAAATCATTTTAAGCGATGATATAGATCGAAACAAAAACTGGAGAATGAAAAAAAATATTATTCAACACACAATTCCTTCCTAACTATTTGATTCTTAAATTGAAAATATATTTAAACAACTATTGATTTATATCATACAAAATAAAAAATTACAAAAGTACACAAGAAAGTCGGGCGTATTGTGGGACAGGACTCTTAATTAAGCATCTACATGCCTTCCGAAGTTTGCCAAAGGGCATGTGACTCCAATAAAAATATGAATATAAATATGGATTCGGGAGTGAGCACGTGCAATAGTATAATGACAATTTTCAAAGTTCTGTTTGATTTCATATAAATAAAAAATAAAACAATACTGTAAAATCAATGATCGTTTTACTTTATAAGAATGTTTTCGCAATCCGGACCAGTTAACCAAATCGGTCCTTCTGCTGGCTACCCTGGTTAAACCTTTTCGATTCAAATTCTTCTTCAATACATGAACATGCTTTACACATGCGCAACCGATCTTTACCTGTAGTCACATTATCTGTAGCATGCATACAGATCCGAATGAGGTAAAATGAATGTATTGCAAGGCATTAATGTATAAGTTTACAAAACTTAACCAAACCGACAGCTAATAGTGAATTATTATTATTCAATGTTCCTGTTCATGTAAATGTTTGAAACAAAAACAAAAAAAACTTAAATTTGTCTAACTGTCGAAATCGTAGCTAATGCAGCTTAAAAGGCTTGGACGCTCAAACAAAATTTTGTACAATACATCATATCTGTTTGATGAATTATCACAAATACACACATTTTACCTATTTTACATAATATCAAGATTACCATGTCAAACAAGTAGTGTGTTTTATTGGTAAATACATTACGCACTACGTAAATTATAAATAAGTTTTAAAAGGTAAGCTGCTTTTGAACATGCTGTGGTAAGTTGCATTTTGTTCATTGTTAATGGAACTATTGTAGTATTTGCGATTTTGTGAACGGGTATTTCCTCGAAAGCATTTTCCTAACTTTCTATCAAGATAATCCTCGTACAATTGAGTTTAAAATAGAGAGTACTCGATGCATAAATATATGTAATCAACACAACAAGATTTTGGACATGTGTAAATGAGACAGTAATCCAACGACACGATAAACATAAGGATACATCAAGAGCATGACTTACAGTCTCTAAATTATTGCGAGTTCGAGCGTGTCTGAATTACATCAGAAAAAAGTTCGACATAATTTTAAATAGGAGACTGGCAAAGAATAAGCCAACACATATATTATTTGTACAACAGTTCGTTTGTTCGAATTTCAACAGCCGCCATTATCTTGTTATCATATAAAAACACATGTCGTTGGTTTATGTCTGTCATATTTATTTTTCATACATTGCTTTGTTGTTAATTAGACCGTTAGTTTTCTCGCTTGAATTTTTTCACATCTTTTATGTCAGGGCCTTTTATATCCGACTTTACGGTATTGGTTTTGTTCTCATTGTTGAAAGCCGTAAGGTTGCCTATAATTGCTTACATTCACTTCTTTTGAACTCTAGTGGATAGTTGTCACATTGGCAATCATATCACATCTCCTTGTTTTTATGTATTTCAGAGTATACAACATGTCGGAAGAGGAGGAGGATGAAGCAAAACAGGAAGAAGAACAAGTACCAAAATTCAGAATTCGCCATTTGCTAATGCCAGTAATTATAATACTAATGACCTTCGGGAATGTTGTCGTGAGTACTGCCGAAACACAATTTGCTTATTATGCAGTTCAAAAAGAAAATAATATCAGCAGTGTCTTGTCAGCGTCGCGTCAGTCATTATGTGAGGCAAATAAGTCGTCACCCTTGTTCAAACAGCAACAGAAAATACAATCCATAACGGCAAACTGGAATGCTTACTGTCATCTAGCGCAAAGTGTTCCGGTTCTTTTAATGTCTTTAATGGTTGGATCATGGAGTGATGTGATCGGACGCAGAGCGGCATTATTTATTCCTACTTTCGGTTTAATGTTCAAATCTGCCTTTTTTGCAATAGGTATAAAACTGGAGTGGAACATTTATACATTCGTGATCGCTTTTTTCGTTGATGGTTTGTGTGGAATGTGGATAAGCCTTTTAGCATCAGCGTATTCTTTTACTGCAGATATGACAAACTATGGGAAAAGTAGACTGTTTGGTATAGTTTTTGTAGAAATAACTCTTGGAGTTGGTGTTGCATTAGGAATATTCACATCCGGGTATATTATTAAGTTTTTTGGATTTCTATACGGATCGGTACTAATGGTTGGAGTGGGAGTTTTGCTCTGTTTTCTCATCATTTTACTACCAGAGAGTGTAAGATTAACAAATAAAATAACAACTATGACACAATTAGAATATCTGAAAAATGCAGTTTCATTCTATATCAAAAAGACTCCTCTGAGAAATAAATACATACTCCTTGCAGTTGTATTTTCGCTCCAAGCGCTGCCTAATATTGGAAGGATCAATGTTTACTCACTTTATGTAATGAACTCTCCCTTCTGTTGGAATTCTGTTCTTATTGGATTGTTTGGAGGAGGTAGAAGTGTTGCACAAATGATTGTTGGTGTAGCATTGACACGGCCTCTCTACAAATGTATGTCAAAAGACGCCATGGTTGTTGTGGGTTCTCTTTCTGCGATTGGCTGTTATGTCCTGACAGCACTAGCTATAAACGATAAGATGCTATTTATGAGTATGTATATGTGGATAATTTTCTCATTTACTTACGTCAAAACGTGTATACACAATTCAATCAGCATAATTACAAACGAAAAACTTTGTTCAATACACGTTTGGTTAAATGTAATTTAATCTACACACCAGCAACACAGATTATTAAAATAAAATGATAAAATACACATTAATAAATTTCAAATTCTTTTGACAGGGAACAATATCATATCAACAACAACAAAATAAAGAAACCATATACACACGCACACACACACACACACACACAAATTCATACCATAATCACAATACATTTATACAGCTTATCCACTTTCGAAAAAACCCATAAAATTCTTCAACTGCAACGTGACTTATAGAATATTGATCGTTGCTTAAAAGTTGAATTCTGTCATATTTTTTAATCATTTCATTTGACACATTATGATGGTAATTATTTGAAATTGTCACATTAGTACTAATTTGTTTAAACGTGCGCAGTGAAGTGAGAATTATTTGTTTTTTTGATCCGTGTTGTATGCCTCACTGCGACTTTGAGATGAAGAACAGCAATAAAAGCGCTGTTCCTTTGCTTTTTGTATGTTTTTTTGCTATATGCATGTAGTGATTTTGTGTCATGGTTGGATACCCCATATTCTTTGTTTTTCTGTTGTAGTATAACATTACTATTGCCTTTTCAGCTCCCGTGGTAGGTCTTTTCCTGAACTTTCCAGTTATTGTAATACGATCTGAGATGTCGCAAATAACACCAAGAGAAAGACAAGGTATTAAATATCCTCCTGTATCCGTTGACATGTAGTTTTCTTTCATCATTATTAACCATGAAGTATTATATCTTTTACTAACAATATATATGATAAGTCGTTTTGATGACTACCTACAAAATGATCGAATGAGATTTATAATTATTTTGAAGATCGTTATTTTCTAGACATTTTAAAACGGGTTGATCTTGTTTTCTTCCGAATATTTCGGTTTTTGGTACAGTGACAATTTTTTAGTATTCCGTATTCTGCCATTCTATAATGGTTTACTTTTATAAATTGTATCTTGGATGGAGAGTTGTCTCATTGGCACTCATACCACATCTTCCTATATCTAATTACTTGTTTGATTTTTCAAACTGTTTTATATTTTGTTTTAGTGAAAGTTATACCATTTTCAAAGAAACTTTAAAAAGTTGGCAATGTATATAGCTGTAGAGAAAGTCGACAATTATCATCTGTGATAATTTCCAAAAAGAAAGAGAAATAGCAAGAGGCAAATTGGCCCTTAAAATAAAAATTTACTGTGAAATTCTTAACTGTTCTCAATATTTGTAAAAAAAACAATTTTAAAGGCATGAAGCCGATATATAAAGGAGGAGGTGTTTTGAGGGTCCGTTCCGATCTACATCAATAAAGTATCATAAAATGTATAAAACAGGGGGATTTTAGCTATCTTTGAGATATTATGAATAATAACTGAGGTTTTTCAGTCGAAAGATAATTTTTTTTTAATTTTTTTTGTAAGTGTGAAATATTGAGCAAAATAAAAATATTAAATAATAGGTTTTGTTCTTATAAAAAACAATGTGGTAAAATAATGTAATTAATATTTGCATGTTACATTTGACAAACATCTTTGACGTTCTTAGATTTCTTTCCAGTAAAAACGAGCTGCATTTGGTTCAGTGGTGTTAATAAATTTGATCTTTTACTTTGAGATTTTTTGAGAAATTTGTTTTAAAACTGAGGTAAAATATTCCGTTTTGATGTCAAATGTAACATTTAAGGCGTGTTTCAAACTGTAAATACATTGTAAGTAAATCAATGTTAATTCTAAATAAATGACACAATGATTAACTGACACAATGATTTTATAAGGAACATTATAATCATTATCTTTTATTAATAACGCTATTAAGCCAAAAATATATATATTTGAAAGCTAATTGTCATATATGGTACCTTTAAAACCATCATTACGTGTGATATACAACTTTTATCACATTAATGCCTGTGTAAACATAGTTTATGCAAAAGCCCCCATATATCTGGAATATAAATTCAATAAATGTTTTGACAAATTTATAGATTTAATGTTGGTAATGCAAAACTTATGATTCTGGAATCATAGACGTTACTGCAAACCCGCTTATATCGAACAAACGGATATATGTGCACTCCATGAGCAGTCAACGGAAAATTATGATAAGGAAAAAAAAACAGTCCCGTTTGTTATTAATTTTGGTGTATGTGAAGATGATCGCTATAGCGTCTATCAAGGTCTTAAAAAAGAAAACAATAACTAATTCACGATACATATAAGATTTCGGAGGAACAGTTTCATTTGTTTATTTAAAAAAAAATTATTTATAGAAAATTTGCCGTTTAAAAATCTTGTAAATATCTGTGTTTTGTGATAGATTTGGTTGTAAGCTTATCAGTCGTTTTCATACCTGTATTTACATCGATGACATAATGTCTTTATTGCTTCAAATATTGAGACAGTGCTGATTTCTCTACTGTTAATATGGTTTGAAAACATTTCTTTGCCAATTTGAGACAGTTTCTCACCCTCGTAAGGTAACGTTTAGTATCATGTTTAACCTGATTTCCGAAGAAAAAAAACGGTCATTAGTTTGGTGACGTACGGACGGCTGCCAAACATTGTCCGTTCAATAACTCAAAAACTTTAAAAACGCTTTGATGAAATCTTTTCAAATTTATATATATTGTTTCCTGTGACTAAATGAAGGTTAATTTTGATTTTAACGATTTTAGCGTTTATCGTTTTTGATTTGTAGACCTTTAAGTAGCGAAAAGTGATACTTAGAGCGTTGTCCGTGCAATTACTTGAAAACGCTTGAACGAAATCTTTTCAAATTTAGATATGTTGTTTCCTGTGACTAAATGAAGGTCAAGTTTGATTATCACGATGTTAGCTTTTATCGTTGTGCAAAAAGTGATACTTAGAGCGTTGTCCGTGCAATAACATGAAAATACTGTAACGGAATCTTTTCAAATTTATATATGTTGTTTCCTGTGACTAAATTAAGGTCAAGTTTGATTTTCACGATGTTAACTTTTATCGTTGTTGAGATATAGACCGTTAAATAGCGAAAAGTGATACTTAGAGCGTTGTCCGTGCAAAAACTTGAAAATACTGTAACGGAATCTTTTCAAATTTAGATATGTTGTTTCCTGTGACTAAATAAAGGTCAAGTTTGATTTTCACGATGTTAACTTTTATCGTTGTTGAGTTGTAGATCGTTAAATAGCGAAAAGTGATACTTAGAGCGTGTCCGTGCAATAACTTGAAAATGCTGTAACGGAATCTTTTCAAATTTAGATATGTTGTTCCCTGTGACTAAGTGAAGGTGAAGTTTATTTTCACGATGTTAACTTTTATCGTTGTTGAGTTGTAGACCTTTAAGTAGGGAAAAAAAGTGATACTTAGATTAATTTGTGCCCTTCCATTTCTGAACCCTACAGAAATTCATTTATTTTTTTAACTTGATCCTGTTTGGGGGTCCAGATCTGCAAATATCATTTTCACGCAGGAAATCCGGTTTGCTGTCAATCGGACAGCTCTTGGTAATGTATAGAACATCAAATCATGAATTCAGAAATGTCCAGATATAATGTAATTATAAAAACAGTATCCTACATGTACTTATTACTAAATAATCTGTTTCTACAAGTTTTATATTATGAATAACTGTAACAAAAAAATATCAATTCAATTTTAGGTGCACTTTATGGAAGTATAGCCGCAATCGACTCTGGGTGCTCTTTGGTTGGTTCTGTGCTTTCAAACCTCTTATATGGTGGAACTGTTTCGGTTTATAGAGGAATCGCTTGGCTAGCCTTTGGAGGTTGCCATGTAGTTGGCTTATTATTCTTTGGGTAATGTATCAATTTTCTATATTGAATATGTTTTAAAAATAATATACTGATACATGTTATCTTTACACGTGACGGCTATGTTGCGTAAATAAGACGCATTATAGCACCTCGCCCAACGTATGCAGTATGTCCATCCACACATCAAATCAGAGTAAATTTTATTTTAAGGAACTAAACGTTACACAACAATGAATTGTTTTGGCATATCTTTTTTTAGAAAAGTCCGTAGTTTGAAGGTCAATTTCACAAATGTAATCGTTTACATTAACAAACGCAATAGCAGGTCACGTGAAAAGATAAAAGAGAGGCAAAAGATACCAAAGGGATATTAAATTCATAAGTCGAAAAGAAACTGACAATGTCATGGCAAAAAAACGAAATACGACGAAAAGACAAACAACAGTACACAAAACACAACATAGAAAACTAAGGACTGAGCACGAACCCCACAAAAACCGGAAGGTGATATTGGGTGCTCCGGAAGGGTCAGAAGATCCTGCTCCACATGTGGCACCCGTCGTGTTGCTCATATAAGTACAAACCCGGTGATACGTTAAAAGATAAATAATTCTGAACTTTCTGATTCTTTTCTCCATGTATTTCATTAACGCAATTTGTTTAGCATCTATATATAGATTACAACACTCGCGTAAACAAAGTAGTGGACAATATATTGTGGGATGTCAAGAGATTGCCGAGTCTTCAAAACTCATTATTATTATTATTATTTGTTTTTTTGTGTTATATGTCTTTTTTGAAGGGAGCTTTCAGTGGTTACTTTATATCTTCATCATGTTCATTTAGGGTACAGCTTTACATGTATGCCTTGGGTAGTCAAACGTTTCGTGGTGATATATTTATGCTGGCCGATAAAATGCACCAAACAATTTGGAGTTTGTAAATATAAGAGTTTACAAACATACGTGTTATTTCTTTACCCGAGTAATGATTATTATTTTTTCGTATTTCCGGAAGAGACTCCCATTTAAGTTAAAAGTTGGAAACTCTACTCCGTCTTTGGAAGGAACATGTTAACCCCCGTATTGATGTCATGACTTTTTATGAAAACACTTACGGTGGCTTTGCTACATTATGATTTCCATCTGACTTCCATTACAATTATCAAATATTCAAAATTTAAGATTCATTAATGCATTTACATGATAAATTGTACATGTTGTATGTGCTGCAAATATCCTAACGAACAGCAGTTATTGTCAAACGATGATGCAAATTAGAACAAATATGTATTATAATGTGCTGCACTAAATTTCAGATTCCTCTTTCGACATCTGAGTAAATGAGAATAATCAATACTAGTACTAGTAATATCATTATACTCTCTTATCATGTTCATACAGACAAAATACCACATCAACTCCTTTTTATTGCATTGGGGGTAAAATAGAGCTGTACATTGTAGTTGTTTAATATACATTTATACATGTACACGATTATTGTGTTTCATTTATATACAAAGAAAAGAAACAGGTTGGCAATAGATCGATAAAATCTTTTTTTTTTCATTTTTATGCAGATTGTATATGCTGACAAACGAAGAAAAGAAAAATGAAGAAAATGAAGATACAAATTATAAACGTTTTAAGTTTGTAAGATTTAAATAATTATTTGTCAGAAAATGACACAACAAATAACACGTCCTATTGCAAGTTTTGACAATGTTAATTGGTGTTGTAATCTGTGTTACTCAAACATCTCAGTTGAAGCGATATTGTAAAGATTTAAACAAGATAGAGGTACATGAAGCTCTAATTAAGGCAATACTAATTTACTGATGTGCAAATCTCTTTAATCGGTTTAAAAGAGGCATATCAATGTAACAGACGAACACTTAGGGAATCGCATCAACCCCAAAAGCTCTTTAATTTGTTTTATTTCCGATTGTGACATTTTGACTGAATCTTGATTCGCATGGTGGCGAGTGACTCCTATACTGTCGAACCATTTGACCTCGTAGAGGTTCATGCGATTCCCTCGGATTTCGTTTTTTATCGTAATTTATGCGATTTGAAAATCGGTATACTACTGTTGCCTCTAATCAAGCATATTCATAACCGAATTTAACAATTTAATTAAGAGTATTCTGCCAAATAGTTACCTCGTAAAAAACTTTAGATAAGAATGTTAAGTGAATGAAGACATTTTCGCCTTAAATATAGAAAACTCTAAAACCTATACAATATTTTAATTTATATTATAACAGTACTATTGTACCTAAATAACTGGCCTGGCAAAAACAGTTTACCCTAACCTTATATAAATTGATTTAAAATAAACAAATCAAAATTTAAAAACAAATTAATTTTAGAGGAAATCGCAAGATTGGTTACGTCGACACGCAGTAAAAATATTATAATTGCATGAGTTGGGAATAGTATGACCATCGGTAAATTTACAGATTTGACGACCCGTCATGTATCTAAAGATCTAACACCACATTGACGGTTGTGATTTCAGACACATGGTATTCGCTAACTAGTCCTCCTGGTGGTAGTTTAAAAGTCAGGTAATGTCGATTTCGGTCTTTCGTTCTCACAACCCAAATGTTTTAAGTGCCAAGAGTACACTCCTATTAATGAAGTGCGTAAATCGCGAACCTGAATTCGCAAAACCAAAATCAATTTCGAAACGAAACGAAAACGCCAGATTATGAGGTAGGTGGTATGTTACTGCCTAGAAACGGAAAGATGCCATTGAGAAAGCTGAAATTGTCAAGTTGTGTCAATATCAAGAAGAGATCCATATATGAAGCAGAAAATTTTATTTTGATTGAAAGTATCCTTGATTTATTGTTTACTGATAGATATTTGATGCAAGCATTCCTTGTAACGTATGTCATTGAGTTGCAGGACGTCATCATTAATAAATCTCAAAATGAAACTCAAAAACTTCGCAAAACGATTTTTCTGTTTGTCTTTGGAAAGGTTTTGTATGAATTTTGCTTTACTTGAGTACAAAAACTAACTCGCTCATCCTGGCGCTGTTTTTACACACCATAACCATGTCTAGACTTTAAGTGTGTGGCAAATATTTCAGTCTGAAGACGGTCACATTCATTTTAAAAAGCCTTTTGTAATCAGACAATTTAATTATTTCCGGTTTGGGCAACGAGTCTGTAAATTATCACAAAGCTCATTTCTTGTCGACCTCATAAAAGAGAGGCGAAATATACAAAAGGGACATTCAAACTCAAAAGTCGAAAATAAACTGACAACACCATGGCTAAAAAAGAAAAAGACCAACAGAGAACAGTACATAACTATTTAAAACATTTTAACAATTTAAAAGGTGCAAATGGATTTACTGTTGAACTTCGCTTTTCATGTGTTTGTAAGGTGTTATATATTTTTCAACCCGGACTAGGCATATAAATTGTTGAAGGGTGACCTGTAATTGTTAATGTCTTTTATCTTTGGTCAGTTGGTCCATGGAAATAGTTCTCTCATTGGCAATCATATGCAACTCCTAGTTTTATTTAGATAAATATTTTTGTTTCTGCATCTCTCATGCAATGGCTGTACCTTTCCAATTACTATATATGCGTGTCGTCTAAATATAAAATGTAACACTTTATAGTGACTGAAAAGGGTGATCAAATCATCAGAAAATGTAGAATACACCTCGAAATAGCACCTGATCATTTTCCATTGCAGCTTATAAAAGGAAACTCAGTTTTGAATAGTTCCATTTCAAGGTAAAATGTGAAAATCTTGTGAAAAGAATTAATAAAAAAAAAAAACAGGTAAACACTGTAGTTAATTAAAAAGATATCTCTTTAAACTGTTATAGAAAAAAGGAAAATAATATATCGTAAGATCTGATTCAACCGAACCGTTTAAAAAAATGCATTTAGGATGTTCGCTACTCTGGCTTCTGACTTTTTGTCAGATGTTCGGATATTTGGAATCCTCTAGTTTTATCATGTAGTGCCTTTAAAATGTTTGCACAATAACCCTTACTTTTCTTGTATTACATATAGTTTAAAACGCCATTTTTGAAACTCTTATACAAATTTGTTCATAGATTTTGAAAGACAAAAGGTGCCAGTGTTTATGGTTAAAAAAAATCTAGAGAGAATTATTTCTCGTCAAATTTTCAATTGATTATACCTCAAAAACAAATACACGGACCTTCTATCATTTTTTAACAGTCTTGTTATTTTGTAACACAGGATCGAACATCCTTATGCAAAAACAACCACTGGTTATTATAATTTACATAAAATTCAGAGGCAAACAAATATAACAGTTTTGATAAACGTAAACTGTATTTTGTTGATATTACCAAACCATGTACATTTATCTCATTGACTTTAAATAACAATAATTTCGCGCGCACAAACACAGTCTGAATGTCCGGTGCTTTCCAGTGCTGATATAATTAATCACGTGTGTTACTCATTTCCTTTCATAACTTAAAAGTTTCTTTAAAATTTGCTTTCAATATTCTTTATATAATCACACCAAATAGTTTCATTTGAAAAATTAATAGATGTACAGAGCTAATATTATTAAATTATCGAAAAATACACTGATATTTCGATTTAATAGTAAATTATTTAGGTTTATATGGTTATTTCACAAAATATCTTACAAAAGAAATGTTCCCAAAATGAATTAAATTCCCATTTCTCCAAATCCAATCCATTGATTTGTTTTATGGCAAAGCGCTTCGGTTGCATGGTCTTGTGGAGTTCTTTTTTTTCATTTATGAACATTTAAGGGTAATCTATCATTAATTACATGCATACAATTTGTTAGTGAAAAGAGCTCCGGACATTGATAAAACAAATTCTCCCTCTTGCATGGATGAATATTTTTTTCACTTGGAACAAAATTTTAACCATGCAGTCATATAAACAACTCGTACGATCAGATTCCCTGAATATTTACGTATTACACTACTCATCTATTATATATCTAAAGATACAAAAGAGATGTTCAAACTCATAAGTCGAAAACAAACTTAAAATGCATAGCAAAAAAGACAAAAGACAAAAGACACACAACAGTACACAAAACACAACATAGAAAACTAAAGACTAAGCAACACGAACCTCTACAAAAAATCAGGGCAATCTCAGGTGTTCCGGAAGGGTAAGCAGATCCTGTGTTACTCATGTAAGTACAAACCTGTGATAAGACTTATTCGGCAGGTTACATTCGAAGTTAATCTTAATAACAACACTTGCTCTATGTGTGTACCCTTTTATGAAAAGGTGAAGACGGTACATGTGTGTCGGATCCTTTTGTCTTTTATGTTGCCCATTATTTCTAGACGTTTGGTTCGTTTCGCATTGACGGATAAGCCACATTCCCTTTTATTCACATATAAAAAAAAGTCATACGGATGACAACATAATACTCGTATACGTGTATATAATAAAAGAAAAGTAAATCAAATTAAGAAACAAACTAATAAAAATAATTATTTCTCGCATGGTCATTTTTTGCTTTCAACCAAATGATATTCATAATTACAGGACATATTTTGAGTCAATTTTTAAAAAATGTCACACTCGATTTCCAAATTTTAACAGATTCCTGAAAAGTTCATACGACTCCCGTTTTCAAAACCTGAATACATGTACATTAATATTTCTTTTCAGTATATGTGTAGTTTGCTTGCATATTCGTGAAATCTTTAAGTTAGCCTTGTGGTTATAGTTCTTGTATTTCGCTCTTCTATTAGGACAGAAACAATTTCTAAATCGTAAATTTGAGCATACAACTAATGCAAATGAAGATACAACAGAAGAAAAGGCTAGATGAATTCTTTTTCCGAAAATATGTGAACATGTGAGTTGTATATTATTAAAAAAAAAACACGCGCAATCGTGAAAGTGTTAACACATAGTAGTCCATCATGCATTGCAACTCATTCACAATTAACTAAGGTAAAATTGCAGCATATTATGCAAACAAACAATTATACCGGCTGGAACATTGTATGCTAATGTATGTTTATCAATAAAAAGTAGTGTACCAGACCTGATGTAGTGCACTTCTGTTTCGGGCGATGTATAAAATAAGTAGATTTTGCTCTTTTAGTACTTTTTAAGCAAAATTTAAGATTTAAAATTAAAACCAACATCAGATTGCAAATGTTCAAATCTCGTAAATCTATATAGATTATACACATCAAGGTAAAAACCTAATCCTTATGGAATTGCAGGAACTCCAAACGAAGCGTAAACGAATGTGTGGACAGATTAAGCATCTCCTGCTATAAATGCATAGTCGGCCATGCAAATCCACACACAGTCAAATTGTCATAATAGGGAATAAAACACAATCGGTAAATTTATATATCAGGCAACTCGAGGATCGTATATTCCAAAAACATGTCTCTTTTGTATTGAAACATTGTAACAACGATTTGGTGCACAATTCGTGATTGCGACAATAAAAATTGTGAAGGGCGGATTGCAGACGTTGGTTTTAGCTTTTGCGCCAGGAGCACATCACTGTTTATGCAGTCCATATGCCAACATGCACGTACGTAACCTATCAGTTGAGATATGTGAACGCCATACGATAAAAAAGCTGGTATGTTACTGCTGTGGAATAGGAAGTTGACTTTGGCTAGATTGACTTCATCACAAGTGTCATAGATATGGCAATGTTTGACGTTGTGCAGCTGTGCCAATATAGATTTAAAAAGGTCCAGATATAAAGCTGTTCACTGGGATATTTGAGATTCAATTACCCACTGAAGAATGGGTTATTGAGCGGCATGGTAAAACGAAAAAGCAAAACACTCGCTTCTTTAAATATGATTGTGACTATATATCATTTTTTTCACTGACATTGTAAAATTATCATTCGTCATTTTATACTCTCTATGATTAGTCTGACTCTAGAACATAGAAGGACCAAATTATTATTCGACTTTGTATAAGAATAAGACCAATTATAGTGGTGATCCATGTAATAAAATTGAGAATGGAAATCTGCTCATTTTAGTTTGATTTACAACCTCGTTTATTTAGTACCTCCTATTACACGTGTCAAAATATAAATTTTGCAAATATTTATCTATACTTGCAAGACGATACCATTACCGTGTATGTGTTAACTGTACTGAAAGGAGTCATATTTAGTGAAATGATAATATATCAGGTATATGTAATTGTGATAAATTGTTCTTGATTTCACAATGTATGTTTACTGAACTATCAACTAGGCTATGCATACATACCAAATTTATAGCAAATAAACATTTATGTAGATACAATATTGTTGAAGATATAAACTAAAAGTACAAATTTTTTGAAAAAAAAACTTTCAGCATTATCATAATAACAAAACATTGGGGGTTTCATTTATAAATTTGTTCTAGCTAAGGCATATGCAAGGAAATAAGTTCCGATTGCCAGGTGGAATATAAGAATAAGGAGATATTGTATGATTGGCAATGAGACAATCATTTACCAGAGATGCATATTCATAATCTTAAGTACGTCTGCGAGTCATAGAGACGCACAGCGAACGAGGTGAAAAATGCTTCATATTGTGACGATAATCTGATACTTTTTATACAAATTGTCTTTGTTTAACCAGTACATGCGAACGGTTACGAATGAAATTATTTTGGATCAAACTTATCACTTATAAACTTGCAAACTTATAACAAAGTTGAAGAGCATTGAGGACCAAATTCCAAAAGGATTTGCCGAATACAGCTAAGGTAATATATGTTTCTGACAGCAA